TTCTTGCTGTAAGGTTAGGTCTCTACGAAATATACGAATTTATTTTTGTCATTGCAAGGGCCATCAGTCAGCCAACAGTAACAGTTCAATAGAAATGCAATTCTATGAAAGGTTGTACTGATTGGTGCATTCTCTATTTTTAGATTGCCCTTACGAGCGCATCAATGGAAGTCTCGGACCCGGGTGTGCGGATTCAAATGGAGCAAAATGTCATGAGCAGTGCGTAGCCGGATGTACAGTTCCCAACGATGACAAAGCTTGTTATGGCTGTTTGCACTATAATCATGACGTGAGTTCGATACCCTTGCTATTTTCTATTTTGGGATGTCCCTGTTTCTATAGTAACTTTCGCCTCTCGTTTATCTGCTATGATTGAATGATGAATTGTGAGGGGTTTTTGCAAACGATAAAAACATAAGCTTATGTTTGAGGATTGTGGATTGTTAATAATTATAAGGTTACTGTAAGATTCACGTCATCCTTTTTTCTTGAGGATAAGCATGTTTATGTATGTTTTTCTCATACGGTATGGTTTAGGGAGCCTGCGTGGAAAAATGTCCGAAAGTCTTGTTTACGTATCTCAACCGACGATGTATCACGGAAGTTGAGTGCGATGCGTAAGTTTCTGGCATTTTGTTTATTTGGATTTGCTAATCGTCGGAAAAATCAAATGGGTTGGGTAGGAGGAGTAAAGTAAAAACGGAACGTTGCCATTGCTAGATTTGATCATATCCCATTAACGAAACTTTTCCGAATTTCTAGTCTCGTTCTACAAAATGCCAGGGAATAAGTAGATAAGGATCACCTTTTCAGAATGTCACCACTGCATGGAGGGAAAGATGTCTACAAACCCGCAAATGGCATATGCTCAACGATTTGTCCAGAAGGCCTTGAAGAAGGTTGGAGAAAATTTTTACTTGTGACCGGTAATCAGTAGGATTTTCTGATTGTTTAGATCCCAGCAATAGGAAACGATGTCGAAAATGTGTTGGTGAATGTATACGGAAGTGTCCAGGAAATATCACGGTGGATAGCATGTCTAAGGTAAATAGTGCATTTTTTCTGGGTTAATTCTATCGTGTAATTTCGCTTTGCTGGGATAAAATTATGATTTTAATTTT